TGTATTTATGAATATGAATATCTGTGCTTTGACTCCCAGTAATAATATCAGTTATTCATATGAAATTAATTAGTGTCTGTAGCCTGTGGCTAAGGACATGGACAAAGAGACAATGTTATCCATATGTTGTGGCTCTGGTTCACCTATTTTCTTCTGCCGCAGGCAAAGGCAATGGTTTGATGCAAACACATCAAATCTCTCGTGAAACATTGAAATTCCAGCCCTGTGTTAAAGCTCCTTTTTCAAGACCAAGAAATATGGACTTGGGTGCTTTCTCTTGCCTTCATCTATAGCCACTGAGGCAAAACAAGCCTCACAGAACCTATAGTGAATACACTCAAAGTGAATTTATGACCCAAGCTCCAATGCGCCTTTGGGACTATTTTTTCACTATAGTCTAATGGCTATAGTCTCTACTCTCATTGAGCCCAGAGTGGCACTTTTATGGACCTTTTGGAAAAAAGCTAGAAGGACTAATCCAGCCTTCTTCAATCAGCCATAAGTGATAAACTTCAGCGTCCCCCTCTTACCACCAGCTCTCGATAGCTTGACCCTGGACACTGCAATGTCAGCATGCTTTCTCCAATCACAATATCAGTGAAATCTAAGATATTTAGGTCAATGTTATCACAAGCTGGAGTAAGGGGTCTGAGTATTGATTGGAGGTCCTTTGAAATCCTGTTGGCCCCTTGGTAACCCCGACCGAAATGGACAATTTGGACATCCAACCACAAAAGCAATTTAACCCCCGCCTCTGCCCTCTCAGGTCACTGATCAATTGGTGAGTGCCTCACTGTTGCCGTGGTGATATATAATTATGTCTGGGCCAGTTGGAGTTCCTTGCCATTCCAAAGAGGGGCACCTCTGCACTTTAGCAGTCTTTGTCTGATAAAACACTCTGGATAATATACTGCTGCATACCATTGAGGTGCTCAAGCTTACGTGGTATTGTCTCCAAATATACACTGTTGTCTGGAAATTGCAGTTAGAAGCAGGACATGTTACACTGAGTAACTCTACATATCCTTACAGAGTTTTTGTGCCTGAAAATATATTTGTTTATTCGTTATTTACCCAGGTGAGTCCCATTGAGATACTGATCTACAACCCTGTCCAAGATGCAGTATCAAAATATAATACAATGCAATGAAAAGTGAACCTGAAGGGAGAAAACAGTAAGACAGAATACAGTAAGACAGAGGTGGACGATAAATGGGGAATACCAGGGGGAACCCTCTGGATATTGGATAAGCCGGTCTTGAAGCGTGTGACATGATTTCAGGGATGCACCTGTCAGCTTGTGATTCCCCTGCTTAATCTCCCATAATCCCACAAGCTCCCGCTCTTGTGTTTCTCCTGTCAACGAACCAGCATTGGCGAACGAAGGTAGAAGGAGAGAAAATATATTTACATCCGCCGCAGGATCCCTTTCTCATTAGAGGCATCTTGACTGTCATTAACTAAGCCAATCAAGCGTATAATATTGAAATGAGCCACTTTATATATATATATATATATATATATATATATATATATATATATATATATATATATTTTTTTTTTTTTTTTTTTTTTTTTTTTTCTTTATTCTATATTGCATTCAAAATTCAAATATTTGCCATTTGAAGTCATTGAAGTTCCCATAGATGAGGAATGTGTCAGTTTAGCAACTTCCTTTCCCAGGTTAGGCTAATGAATTCCAGTTACCAGCTGCTGTGTCAGGATGACTCCACAAATACCTCTCAGAAGTTTTAATGAACAGATTGTAGTGAATAACTTGGTGTGTAAGATCATGCCGGTCACAGTCATGGTTTGTGTCAACGTGAAGAGGCCCAGACTGTTTGGCAGCCAAATTACATGTCCCTCTGCGTTGCAAATGAGCATCAGCTAAGGTTGTTATAAGGTTGTGGTAAGGTTGTACCCTACTGTATATCAAAGGATGGTACATACTGAAACTCCTTATAAGTCATCTCATTAGAGACAAATGTACAGTGTTCTATAGAAGCTGGAACACTTAACTGGCATGATCCACATGATCGATGCAAGGAATGTAGATTTTTGATTGATTCATTGTGCAGTGGGACGCTCTAGTCACTGCATAACTTCATATCTGGATTAAAAAACACAAATGGATAAAAAAAATAAACACTTGGTAAATTTAGGAGAGAACAGTGATAGAAAGTTCAAAAATAGCAAACGTTTTCATTTGGGAGTATCGTTGAGTTTGCTGGATTTCCCTCTATCAATCTCTATCTTGAGAATAACTTCTGTGATTTTATCAAGAAATCAACAGCTTCAACCAATGTCCCATCTGACATACGTTTCTCTATAGTCGAGTGCACTCAAACAAACCAACTTCACATTAGTGAGGACTGAATAATATGAAATATTGTTGTTGTTTGTAGTTGGATTAATTGTAGTTGGATTAAGAATAAAGCATATTTATTTGGCAGTCAGTATGTATCTGTATCTACCACAATCTCCACTGTAGGGGAAAGAGTGTTAATGTTTGTTTGCTCTAGTTCTTAGGGACAGTAGTGTCTCTTCTTAATTGGACTTGTCAGCAGGGGGCTTGGGTCTTATCCACTATAAGAAAACATTCAAGTAGCTGGTCAGTTTCATTCTACCTAAATGCCATCACTGTCTGGTCTGGTACAGCAACATGGCTTTGTCTCATATCCTTAAAGTCCTCCCAATAATTCATTTTCACTATTATGTTTATAATTGAGAATACACAAGATCCAAATGTTTCACAAAAGTGTACACTTTAGCACTAGAAATATAATGTATATTACTAGTGCTAAAGTGTACACCTTATGTCTGATCAAAGCCTTGAATATCCTATACTTGAAGTATGCAATCTTGCATACTATGCATATTGGTGAGCCAGATCTATAGAATGACGAATCACATTCATTACAGACTCAAGAGGTTTCCTAATGTAGCTCTGCCATAGTCACCAAAGCCCACGGCTATCCATCTTTATTATTCCACGAAGCTGTTTGATTCTGCCCACAACCACACTACTAATTGATTGAATTACAATGCAAGCAGCTGGCAGCCTAGCTGAGGTGGAAATCAAAGTAAATGGATATGGTGGGCTGGGGGCGGGGGCTGCTCTCCATAGCCAATTTGCTGACTCAGCCATGAATAGAGGAGAAGAGATACAATGAATATAATGCAAAACGTGGCGAACATACTGGAGAACGGTGCCATTCCACATGAATGTATCATATCCAGACCCGCTCTATACAGCTAGCACATGTAGGTTGTTTCATCACGCAAATACTGCGCTGATATTCAGTACTATCTTTATGTGTTGCTTGTAATTGTGGCAAATGTCTTCTTTGAATGCATATGTAAACGTAAACAACAGTAACTCTTGTTCTCTTATGCAATACTAGTCATCTGGAACACTAGTCACTGTAATAATGTTTACATATCTTGCACTACTCATCTCATATGTATATACTGCATTCTATTCTATAATATTCTACTGTATCTTAGTCCATGCCGCTCTGTCATTGCTTGTCCATATATGTATATATTCTTAAATCCCATTCCTTACTAGTTTTGTGTGTATTGGGTACATGTTGTGAAATTGTTAGAAATTACTTGTTAGATATTACTGCACTGTCGGAGCTAGAAGCACAAGCATTTCGCTACACCCGTTATAACATCTGCTAAACACGTGTATGTGACAAATAACATTTGATTTGATTTGATCTTTCTATGGGAGTACGGTGAACTTTGCTCTTTCAATGCTGGCTGATTTGCTGTAGGACATTCCCTTTGCCCAGGCACTGGCAGCGAGACTATCATCAACGAAGCTGTATTGTGTCTATCTATAGTACAGAAGGGAAAGCTAGTCAAGTTCAGTACATCACCTCAGGGCAGGATTTGAGTTTTGAATAATCTATCCATCATATACTGTAGCTCTCTGCATTGTGCATAAATCAAATTAGATTCATGGCTGAAAGGGTATCTTTGCTGCAGCCTACTACACCTATTAAAATGTCTAGGGCCTACAGATCTGCTATCTTAATTTGACCAGTTGGAACACAGCAGGAAAATAATCCTGGAGTAACAGGAAATGTGAATTAGTATATGGATTATAATTAATGTACATTTTTGTAGGGGTTGGTAAATTTTTTGTTAGGATAAATCAAGTCTGACATTTTAAAGTGGAAAGTACAAACTTTAGAAGCCTTTTAAAACCTTGAATACACTACAATTTGCATTTCCTGCTACGCAGGAAAATTCTCTGCAACAACAGAGGGATCATATGAGGATAGCTTTATGTTGTTAAAGGATGGCAAAAAGAAACATTTTAAATCTTCTTTGGACTCTTCCTAAGTCTAAGTCCCCTTAAAATGCACAATGTGTTAACTTTACACTTTGATATTGTCTGAACAGAAAGCAACATATATTTAATACAGTGGTTTGATTTATTAATTCTTCAGTGTTACAAAATGTTTACAACTTGTAAAAACAGTCTGTGAATCCAACTGAAACTCTGTGGCATAAGGGGAATGCACTTGGAATTGTTCATTCAAAAGTGACCAAAATAATAATACTGTAATTGCCTTGGTATCCCATTTGATATCAATACGATTTAGCTTCATATCATATAAAATGTGTGTCTTTGTTCAAATCCAACAGGAGTTCAGAGTTCAAAGTTCGATATCACATTTCTACTGTGTTGTAGGATAAAACAAGTGAGTCCAACTTTGTGGGACAAAATATGTCATAGGCAACTACAGCCTATCGTGGCTATCACATATTCATTGCATACAAAGGGCAGCTGTGTGGCTAATACAAGGTATGAAAGACAGTGTATCAATACTGCATGTCACATAAAGGCCAAATCCATTTCTCCTGACCCCTGTGCCATCTGTAATTGGTCCTTTGTTGGCAAAAAAGCCTTCCGTTTTAGTTAAAGGTACAGGACCTCCGCTCAAAGAGTCCCAAATGGCCCTGTAAATCAGGATAATCCAGGCTCATCTCTTTCTATGTTTGTTGTGTTTCACCATCTTCTTCCTCTTCAGGATCATCTCGTAGAGTTTCTCTAGGCCTGGTTGTAGGCCTTGTCCATCCACGGCGCTGCAGCTCTGTACGTGGTGCAGGGTGGAAGCATTCAGTTCATGGACGGCCAGGACCTTCTCCACCTCGCTCACAGACAGAGCCGAGTCCAGGTCCTGCTTGTTGGCCAGCAACAGGACGGGCACCCCCTGGTTCTCCGAGGTACGGGTGATCTTGTGAAGCTCCACCTTGGCCTCCTCCATGCGTTCGGCCTCGGTGGAGTCCACCACGAACACAATGCCGTCGGTCCGCCTCGTGTATGACTTCCACAGGGGCCGCAGCTTCTCCTGGCCCCCTACATCCCACACCTGGAAGGTGATGGCCCGCGAGCTGCCCACCACTACCTTGATCTTCTCCGTGTTAAAGCCCTTGGTCGGGATGGTCTTGACAAACTCCTTGAGTTTCAGTCTGTAGAGCAGAGAGGTTTTGCCAGCCGCGTCCAGGCCAATCACTACCACGTGCAAGGACTGGAAGTTTTGCAGGAACGGGGTGTTGGGGGCTATCTCGGTCAGCTGGTTCCCCATGGTGATGGGATGTTCTCACCTCTTTGGATGAGGTGGCAGATTCTCGATAATCCTTTCTAATAGGTTGGCATTGGCACCCTCGTCAAAGGTGGAGGTGCTAGACTGGATGGTTGCAGGACTGGGGACCTTATCAAAACGCAAACACAATGAGTTACTATTTAAAGACTAGATGAGATTGTCAGGTATCACTACAATTGAGGAGCTTTTACACAATAATAAACAATGACACAGATAGGAAATGTCATCAGACACTTTGATATAACACATGAATGATTGCTACTATGGTTAGTACGCTGACATGATTGCTTTACCGTGTTTGCATCTAATCAGACTGCTCAATGAATAATGCAATTTCTTATAAACTTGCATTGCAAATAGCAAAGCAACAATTGAGACCAATTGGTTATTCCTTGTTAGAGTAAATCCACAACCATAACAGTCATAGCCTAAGCCTAGCCAATTTAATTGTCGGTCATAGAAAATGTCCAGACAGCACAATTTCATTTTTGGTTTGGGGTTTAAAACTCTAAGAAGCGGTATGCCTGACAACATGTAGTTCTAATCCTCTTAGGACAGTTAAACCCCAATGGCTGACTTGGGGCACATTGATTCCAAGTTTAATATAAATAATTGAATATCTATTCATTTGCACAATTAATGCAGTTGATGCCCAGGATAGGATTGCGATTAATTATAATCCAATTGTTTTTGTGAAGAAAAAAAAAGAAAACTATAAACCAACCCATATTTTCTCCATAGGCTGTTAAAAGAAAGATTAGTGCCACCCCAACTATCTAATTATGAGAACACCAGATATAAGAATATAGCCTACGTACTGTAATCCTAGCATCATTCTTAGGAATTAAATGTGATAAAACTGCAGATTTGCACAATAATAAAATGCATAACCTTCTATGAGTGAGACATTTTACAGGAATGACACTGCTATAATAACCAGCCTTGTACATGGCATTACAACTCAGATTTCATTGCAGTAAGATACCATATTTATATCTGTGCAGTCTTAAACCTGAACAAACTATTGTCAAATAATTAGTAAAACATATGTGATATATTTACCTTCTAGACCACTTGAATGAACATAAATAGCATCATCCTAGTGCAGCAAATACATCCATGTACTCATACGTCCAAATATTATTTATCTCCGAGTGCTAATATCTGTCCGTCTGCTCCCTGCACTGATGGAGCAATGAGCAGTGGAGTGGAATTGAATAGCATGCACAAGACCTCCTACCTAGAACAACAACCCGAGGTGACGTCACTCAATAATCTACTCCCCCTGCTGGTCTAGTATGTCAATGGTTCCATATACAGAAGGTGAGATGCTGGCATGCAGCTACAATATAGCAGGAATTAGGATAAGCAGCCTTAATGTCGCAGGATAGAGTAAATGTGAACTACAGTATTCCTAATATCCTATTCTCCCTCCCAGTACACAACTACTTGGAAAGACAAATAGTGATCCCTAACCCATGTTGAATTTGATGCCTGCATATTAGATTGCATGAGAAAATTCAAGTTCATTCTTTAGACATTCCCACTGAGAGGAGCAACACCAATTCAGAGACATGCACTTATTTCAATGAAATAAATCTCACTTTTTGTGCTAGAGTAACATGACAGCCAGTAAAAGGAAACTCTAGGTATAGTGGCTTGCGAAAGTATTCACCCCCCTTGGCATTTTTCCTATTTTGTTGCCTTACAACCTGGAATTAAAATTGATTTTTGGGGGGTTGGTATCATTTGATTTACACAACATGCCTACCACTTTGGGTGAAACAAACAAGAAATAAGACAAAAAAACAGAAACTTGAGCGTGCATAACTATTCACCCCAATCTTCCGTAAATCCCAGCTCTGTGGAGTGTACGGCTTAAAGTGGTCCTATGGATAGATACTCCAATCCCCGCTGTGGAGCTTTGCAGCTCCTTCAGGGTTATCTTTGGTCTCTTTGCTGCCTCTCTGATTAATGCCCTCCTTGCCTGGTCCGTGAGTTTTGGTGGGCGGCCCTCTCTGGCAGGTTTGTTGTGGTGCCATATTCTTTCACATTTTTTATAATGGATTTAATGGTGCTCCGTGGGATGTTCAAAGTTTCAGATATTTTTTTATAACCCAACCCTGATCTGTACTTCTCCACAACTTTGTCCCTGACCTGTTTGGAGAGCTCCTTAGTCTTCATGGTGCCGCTTGCTTGGTGGGCCCCTTGCTTAGTGGTGTTGCAGACTGGGGCCTTTCAGAACAGGAGTAAATATACTGAGATCATGTGACACTTAGATTGCACACAGGTGGACTTTATTTAACTAATTATGTGACTTCTGAAGGTAATTGGTTGCACCAGATCTTATTTAGGGGCTTCATAGCAAAGGGGGTGAATACATATGCATGCACCACTTTTCCATTATTTATTTGTTTAGAATTTTTGAAACAAGTAATTGTTTTCATTTCACTTCACCAACTTGGACTATTTTGTGTATGTCCATTACATGAACTCCAAATAAACATCAATTTAAATTACAGGTTGTAATGCAACAAAATAGGAAAAAAACACCAAGGGGGTTGAATACTTTTGCAAGGCACTGTTTACAGTGTATGGACAGACTTTGGCGCCACCCTGTGTCAAACCCAACCATGACCGTCAAATTGTAATAATGGAATGGAATTCTTTGAACAAGACAGTTTTGTTTCATCATGCATTATCATTATCGTCATATGATGTCACAATCAAAGTTACCAAGCAACACATCTGCCCAGATGTGGTTGGGGTTGCAGTCAGAGCTGACAATGTATTCAGTAAGGGCTGTTGCTGCTGTCCTGTTGTTGCTGTCTGGGGAGCTCATTGGCAAGTGCATTTCTTCTATTTAGGAAAGTAAATATTACAGTTGTGTCTCTGTTTTGAAACAGAGATGATTTTTTTTACTACAAACATCATCAATGCAGATGAGCTTATGTATTATTGCACAAACAGTTATTCTATGAAACTTTTTTATTCTGTGATGTAGCCTAGGAGGTAGAGGTTTTTATGCCTCTACAAAGGATTACATTATAGGGTATTGAGTACTCATAGGTCAGGGTAATGGGCCTGCTCAAATTAGACTGCCTCCTTCTCCACAGGGTGGTGTACTGTAACATGGCAGCCATGCACTGGGAAGCGCGGCGCAGGCAGAACGTGGTTGATCACCGCGTGACTATCACTCATAAGGCAGGGCCATGGTTATTTTAGTCATTAGCAATGACAGCACAGTAGGACATTAATTCTGATACAGTAGCTATTCCAGTCAAGGTCACAATGTTACTGCAGTGGTAGACTAAATCACAGAGCCCTGACTTGCTTGACATGGGGAGCATTTCTGGCCAAACAAGCAAACAAATAAAACATGATTAGCGACGCGTATAAAGAGATGATGATTTCTCTCTTGGACATATAGAATGTGAAGGGACCAGCTCTTTTGGTAGAGAGCCAGCCTGAGGCGCCAACCATGCCAGTCCTGCCCCCTGAGCCCAAAGTGCTGGATGTGCCACTGGGTAGGGTATTCTTATCCCTTGGTAGAGGTTATGAATGTCAACGCAATTAACTGAATCTAACTTATTTATAACCCTCTGCATTCTTTTCTCATTATGGCAGGTAAAAATGTGCAATGCAAGTGTTTGCACACAAACAAAGACAACTACAGTGCCAGGATTGACAACAGATACTCAGTGAGTTCAGTTCTTGCATCACACACTGTTGAGTGATGCAGACAACCTTAGCCAAACATGTCCATTCTACTGCTATAGGACCTCTAGTTATCATGAGTTCAGTTTTCATACTTGATATAACCTCCAGTGAAGATGGATTTTTCTAAAAGGACAAAGCCAAAACTTTGTGTTGATGACATCACATTTATGAAGATGGCTGTTTGATGTGTTTCAGTCCATACAGTACTCCCAGCAGTGGTAGCTACAACCCCTCCTACATTACATCTACATCTGTAGCTGTAACCATCATGCACTGGAACAGAGAGAACAACCCTCACATTGGAATGCAATTAACAGCAACATGGGCAATAAAGCCCTAAAAAAAAACATCATGTCAGTGTCTTCATAGATACTTTAAAAAAGCTGGTAATGACATAGGTATTTCAGCAATGTCCCTCTTAACTATTTGCACACTTAGAACATTTGAGTTGTGCTGCAAAATTCCTCTCACAGTCAAATCATGGCAACCCTTAGGAAATGTTATATAAGAAGGTTAATGGAGGTTAATTGAATTACAAGGCAATTTCATATTGAATATCAATGCAGTAAACTTTATAATACACATAACATACACTACATTGCCAAAACTATGTGGACACCTGCTGAACATCTCATTCCAAAATCATGGGCATTAATATGGAGTTGGTCCCCCCCTTTGCTGCTATAACAGCCTCCACTCCTCTGGGAAGGCTTTCCACTAGATGTTGGAACATTGCTGCGGGGACTTGCTTCCATTCAGCCACAAGAGCATTAGTGAGGCAGGCACTGATGTTGGGCGATTAGGCTTGGCTCGCAGTCTGCATTCCAAATGTGTTCGCGGGGGTTGAGGTCAGGGCTCTGTGCAGGCCAGTCAAGTTATTCCACACCAATCTCGACAAACCTTTTCTGTATGGACCTCGCTTTGTGCACCGGGGCATTGTCATGCTGAAACAGGAACGGGCCTTCCCCAAACTGTTGCCACAATGTTGGAAGCACAGAATCGTCTACAATGTAATTGTATGCTGTAGCATTAAGATTTCCCTTCACTGGAACTAAGGGGCCTAGCCCGAACCATGAAAAACAGTCCCAGACCATTATTCCTCCTCCACCAAACATTACAGTTGGCACTATGCATTCGGGCAGGTAGCATTCTCCTGACATCCACCAAACCCAGATTCGTCCGTCGGACTGCCAGATGGTGAAGCGTGAATCATCACTCCAGAGAACGCATTTCCACTGCTCTAGAGTCCAATGGCGGCGAGCTTTACACCACTCGAGCCGACGCTTGGCATTGTGCATGGTGATCTTAGGCTTGTGTGCGGCTGCTCGGCCATGGAAACCCATTTCATGAAGTTCCCGACGAACAGTTATTGTGCTGATGTTGCTTCCAGAGGCAGTTTGGAACTCGGTAGTGAGTGTTGCAACCGAGGACAGACGATTTTTACGCACTACACACTTCAGCACTCGGCGGTCCAGTTCTGTGAGCTTGTGTGGCCTACCACTTCGCGGCTGAGCCATTGTTGCTCCGAGACGTTTCCACTTCATAATAACAGCACTTACAGTTGACCGGGGCAGCTCTAGCAGGGCAGAAATTTGACGAACTGACTTGTTGGAAAGGTGGCATCCTATGACGGTGCCACGTTGAAAGTCACTGATCTCTTCAGTATGGGCCATTCAACTGCCAATGTTTGTCTATGGTGATTGCATGGCTATGTGCTCAATTTTATACACCTGTCAGCAACGGGTGTGGCTGAAATAGCCTAATCCACTAATTTGAAGGGTTGTCCACATACTTATGGCCATGTAGTGTAGCTTGTGGGATTTAATTTGTATTATAAATCATGATCATATATCTCATACACACCGAGTGACTTTTAATGATGCAATCTACACTGAGTGTACAAAACATTAGGAACACCTGCCCTTTCCATGACATAGACTGACCAGGTGAATCCAGTTGAAAGCTACGATCCGTTGTTGATGTCACCCGTTAAATCCACTTCAATCAGTGTAGATGAAGGGGAGGAGACAGGTTAAAGAAGGATTCTTAAGCCTTGAGACAATTGAGACATGGATTGTGTATGCGTGCCATTCAGAGGGTGAATGGGCAAGACAAAAGATGTGCCTTTGAACGGGGTATGGTAGTAGGTGCCAGGCGCACCAGTTTGAGTGTGTGAAGAACTGCAATGCTGCTGGGTTTTTCATCCTCAACAGTTTCCCGTGTGTATCAAGAATGGTCCACCACCCAAAGGACATCCAGCCAACTTGACACAACTGTGGGAGCATTGGAGTCAACATGGGCCAGCATCCCTGTGGATGCTTTTGACACCTTGTAAAGTCTATGCCCCAATGAATTGAGGCTATTCTGAGGGCAAAAGGGGGTGCAACTCAATATTAGGAAGGTTTTCGTAATGTTTTGTACACTCAGTGTGTTTTAAATCCCCCTACAATTATGTTAAAACAACCAACAAAACAATACAACATCTACTTTCACAGTTCATAAATCATTCAGAAAACTACTTCAGAAGAATATTGCACAGCAAATAATGTGGACAGAGCAGAGGACAATACTATAATACTATTGTCTACTACAATACAATACGTATACATTTCCCTTTGACAAGGAGCCTCTTCAAGAAAAAAATTATCAATATACTTTTTATGACCGCTTAAGACAGAATGGAAGAGGCCCGTATTCCTTAGAGTCTATCTTGTTTATAATACATATTTTCACTTTGGGGATCCCTCATTTACAGGCTTTCATCTTTCAAAAATAATTTGCCTGATATGGTGGGGGATGGTGGTGTTGGCTCCACAGTCAATGTACTCAAAGGTGTCTTTGGACAGCTGCTCCGAGTGAGCCTGGAAGGAAACGTCCATTGTCATTCTGTGGAAGACAAAAATAGATATTAATGCGGACATTTTGAAATCTTCATCTGCAAGTTCACAGTCTCGTGTTTCAAAATGTCACTTTTATAGAATGGTGAAGTTCAAACGTTTGTTATTCTGTTATTCCTGACTACCCTTTTCCGTAATAAAAAAAAGCAACAACTTTAAATTTGGTAGGTTTATGACCTAAGGCAAAGACTATAGTTACACTGTTACTAGTTTTACAGCATGATTAATCTCAAATGGACATGAAACAAATGCGTGAGATTTTTGAACACGTGGCTTGAAAGGGGCAATTCATGCACGTTTTGAAAAAGCAAAAATTTTTCCTATTGGCTCCAGTAATAATAGTGCTTGGTCTTCAAAAACAAAATTCTGTTTTTGTCTAGATTTTGTCTTGGCCAAAGGTCATCAAGAACACTGACAACAAGAATTCAAAGAAGAATAATATCTGTGTGTTTGGGTGGTTCCAAACAAGATATGTTACAATGGGAAGTCAATGGGCATACTACAGCCTGGTGGTCAGATAGGCTGAAGTGCCTTGAAGTGTTTGTGGTGCGACAGATGTGTTTCTGGTTGGCCTCTTTAACATATCTTGGAATAGAGTGTGATACTCACTGCAAATGCAAGAACAAGGTGTGAATCCTTATGGTGGATGACTTGCAGTAATTACTGAAACAGAGGAGTTATAAAGACATTTAATACCCTACACATTTATCACATACAGTGCATTCGGAAAGTATTCAGACCCTTGACATTTCCACATTTTGTTACGTTACAACCTTATTCTAAAATGGATTAAATAAAACATTTTCCTCATCAATCTACACACAATACCCCATAATGACAAAGCGAAAACAGTTTTTTTTTAAACAAACAGAAATACCTTATTTACATAAGTATTCAGACCCTTTGCTATGAGACTCGAAATTGAGCTCAGGTGCATCCTAATTGCATTGATCATCCTTGAGATGTTTCTACAACTTGATTTGAGTCCACCTGTGGTATATTCAATTGATTGGACATGATTTGGAAAGGCACACACCTGTCTATATAAAGTCCGCAGTTGACAATGCATGTCAGAGCAAATTCCAAGCCATGAGGTTGAAGGAATTGTCCGTATATCTCCGAGAAAGGATTGTGTCAGGCACAGATCTGTAGAAGGGTACCAAAAAATGTCTGCAGTTTTGAAGGTCCCCAAGAACACAGTGGCCTCCAACATTCTTAAATGGAAGACATTTGGGAACCACCAAGACTCTTCTTAGAGCTGGCCGCCTGGCCAAACTGAGCAATCGTGGGAGAAGGGCCTTGATCAGGGAGGTAAACAAGAACCCGATGGTCACTCTGACAGAGCTCCAGACTTCCTCTGTGGAGATGGCAGAACCTTCCAGAAGGACAACCATCTCTGCAGCACTCCACCAATATGGTAGAGTGGCCAGACGGAAGCCACTCCTCAGCACTAAAAGGCACATGACAGCCCGCTTGGAGTTTGCCAAAAGGCACCTAAAGACTCTCAGACCATGAGAAACAAGATTCTCTGGTCTGATGAGCAAGATTGAACTATTTGGCCTGAATGCCAAACGTCACGTCTGGAGGAAACTTGACACATGACAGCCCGTTTGGAGTTTGCCAAAAGGCACCTAAAGACTCTCAGACCATGAGAAACAAGATTCTCTGGTCTGATGAAACCAAGATTGAACTCTTTGGCCAGAATGCTAAGCGTCACGTCTGGAGGATACCTGACACCATCCCTACGGTGAAGCATGGTGGTGGCAGCATCATGCTGTGGGGATGTTTTTCAGACTAGTCAGGATTGAGGGAAAGATGAATGGAGCAAAGTACAGAGATATCCTTGATAAAAAACCTGCTCCAGAGCACTCAGGACCTCAGACTGGGATGAAGTTTCACCTTCCAACAGGACAATGACCCTAAGCACACAGCCAAGACAACACAGGAGTGGCTTCGGGACATGTCTCTGAATGTCCTTCAGTGGCCCAGCCAGAGCCCGGACTTGAACCCGATCGAACATCTCTGGAGAGACCTGAAAATAGCTGTGCAGCAACGCTCCCCATCCAACCTGACAGAGCTTGAGAGGATCTGCAGAGAAGAATGAGAGAAACTCACCAAATACAGGTGTGCCAAGCTTGTAGATTCATACCCAAGAAGACTCGAGGCTGTAATTGCTGCCAAAGGTGCTTCAACAAAGTATTGAGTAAAGGGTCTGAATACCTATGTAAATGTTATATTTCCGTTTTTTATTGTTTATAAATGTGCAAAAAAATCTACAAACCTTTTTTGGTCTTGTCATTATGGGGTATTGTGTGTAGATTAATGAGGGGGAAAAAACAATTTAATCCATTTTAGAATAAGGCTGTAACGTAACAAAATGTGGAAAAAGTCAAGGGGTCTGAATACTTTCCGAATGCACTGTAAAGAAAATAATATATTTTGAAAACCAATAGCGTACTGTAAGTTTAATTCATACTGTATACTGCAGGTCCTATCCAAGAGTTCATACTGTAATGTACACATACACAGATAACACTATATTTCCTTCCTATTTTAGAAGTAGTGATGATGGTAATGATATTGGACATATAAATTATAATAAATGTCATGCTTACTTCAGGCCTGGGTCCTCAATTGTTATGGGTATGACAACAGCATACTGTAGGAGATCGGAAAACATAATTAGACTGGGAATTAAGGTCCAACTGTTTCATACGGGACAATAAACAAAGTTGCTTTGCATTACACAGTATTATAATTCTGTAATTGATTTATATTAAACAACAATATCAAACTCACCGCTTTCTCTGAACGTGATTTGACTGCGGTCATATTAGATATCTTGATCCTGCCCACCACTGTTTCAGCGATCAGCACTTGTATATCAAAATCCAAGACTTGAATATCCTGAAAGTTCTCATTGGTGACGCTGATGACATTCTAGAAGAGGAAAAACATAGTTTGATCACACTGACCTCATACAATAAACCAAACAATGAGTGATCACACATTGTCTTTGATATATACGGGAGTGTGGCACGCATATATCTCGTACTTACCATGATTTGCATTTCAACTGTGTGTGGGGTGAAGAAGACCATCACTGATTGGATGGCGACAAGGGACAGTGAGATACTCCGTGGGAAGAGGAAGAAGAGGATCAGACAGCAGATCAGGAGACACAGCACCACCGAGATACACACATAGAGTTTCCTGGAAAATAAAAATGCAGAATTAAAGATCCCGAACAACCTTTCTGATTCCCATGTAAAATAGACTTTTGAATGACTAAAATATCACACGTAATATTTGTTTTGGATGGAAATGCTTAACATTTTACAAAAAGTAATTGTTCTCTCATGGCTAACTACCAGGAAGTTTGAAAAAGACAGGCTGAGTGGGCGGGAAGCTTATTTCATGCGATTGCCTCGACTGACAGCCCTTTGAAACGCCTATGTCAAGCAACTTGGATGCAGTGAGCAGTGTTGCAGTAAAATCATCTCAAGCAAATATGGTGATACACAAAGCAACTCGAGCAGCATTGAAATTGCATCAATTATGTATTATTATTTTTATACATCTCCTGTTTGGCATGTCTCTTGTGATGCTGTTCATAGCAGCACTGATGGATGTGTTGACTTGACACCTGCATCAGAGTTTTGAACAGCCCTTCTTCCACTTTTGTTCCATGCTGGCTGAAGACCTAACTAGACAGTAACTAGCTAACACCAGACACAGATGAAAGGGGAAACATATGAGTATCTTTGCCATAGATTAATAGGGTCAACTTTTAATTATATTTGCTGATACCCTACAGTCACATTTTGGCACCAGTAGAGTAGCTAAACCACGCCCCTCTGCAAACACGCCTTCTCCGATGTTGGTTACAAGGCGGTACTTATTTAAATTAGGTAAGAGAATATCATGCTACCATTTGTGTATTAAAATGAGAGAGTTAGGGTGATGTCACCCTGTACCTTTAATAATCCTGCATCCTGAATCCAAGTGTTTGACACGGGGAGGGGACCAGTAGTTTTATGATCAAACTTAATAAATGTAAAAGCAACAGTCATTTTTCATACTTTGGTCATCATACTGTACTTTAAACTGGTTTCATCCAAATATCATCAAATTTCATGAAAAACATGATTTTGACTGTTCGTGACCTTTAACAACCATGAACAACATATATGAAGCGTAACACAATATGTTAATTAAACACACCAAGAATTTTACTGTATACGGTGTCTCGTATTGGTAAAGCACAAAAATTGAATCAAATTCAAATCAATCAAATTTTATTTGTCACATGCTCCGAATACAACTTTACCATGAAATGTTTTCTTACGAGCCCTTTTGTAACGATGCAGAGTAAAACAAATTATAGAAATAATAACACGAGAAATAAAAATACAATGAAGCTACAATATATACAGGGAGTAACAGTACCATATCAATGTGCAGGGGTACGAGGTAATTGAGGTAGATATGTACATATAGGCAGGGAATCTAATAATACTATGGTTATGTGTTGCTTAGATTGATAGAACAGTCAGTGTTTGATTTTGTGATGTAAGACTGGACGATTTAGCAGCTTGCTTCTTTCAAAATTGAAAGACTCACTTATTCAACAGGAATAGTGGGATGATTGAGGCATTTTTTGCGTTGCCTAATGATTTGATAGATTAAACTACTGTGAATAGGGTTGTAATTTGGAATATTGAATTTAATATGGATACGTATGCTTGTCAACTATAGCAAGTATTTGTTTAATTAACTATAGCCTAATCAGAAAGGAAATATATACATTTAATAGCGGACTGGCAATTACAATAGAGCTGTGGCCATGATTTGAATTGATAACAAAGGAAAGTAATTTAATAGGGAAGTGAGATTTTAATAATATGAATGCAAATATACTATTAGTTATTGGTGGTTTGTGAATAGACTTTACTAATGCCATGTCTTAGTTCGTGGGTAAAAGAGAGTCGTACTTGCTGGACTGTATCGGGCTGTGAGAAATCTGAATAGTTGAATGGGAAACATTCTTTAACAAATTCTAATTGTTATTACTTTATTCTATAGTTTGCGTAACACCAGTGACGTATGCAAATAGTTAATGAATTCTAAAATGATCATTTGTTTTCGTTACGTGGACCAGTGGATTGCAGGTAGTTTTAACTATTATGCTGATGGAATAGCACCAACTTATTATGGGTTCTAGATTTGTTAAACAACAAAATTATATTTTAACTAAATTAATGCAATAGGCCACAATTATAACATTATCAGAAAAAGGTACAATATAATGCGAAACAGTTATTACATATGTCATTGATCCAGTAATGATACAAGGATAAGAATAATATTAAAAGAAACGCAAGAGATAAAATCTCATTTTTGGAAAGAAGCAGAATATGAAGATATATTAGGAAGAGAATACCATTAATTGAGGAATATAAAAACTTTCAGCTGAGAGCAATAACAGAAATAACAAATTTAGTGGAAGCAAGAGAAGAGTGGCCATATATAGATTGGACGGGAATAATAGGAAGAAATTGGACAGTACAGAATATTGGAGAAACTCTTGAAGAATAAGCAGATCAAAAGAGGTTGTTTTTTATAATAATCCCAATAGATACACAGGTTGAACCTTGGCTGGCATTAGGGGAGGAGCAAGGTTTTGAAAGAGGGAAAGGGCAGACAGGTAAGACATTAAGGGAACCACAAATAGAAGTATCTACAGTGTTGAGAGACGTTCAGTGGGTTATTCCAAAACGAGCGACAATAATAAAGGAACAATTAGGTACAAGAAAAACAGTAAGGAAAATATTGTTGACTTTAAATCCTAATATAGACACTGAACCAAACCTAAGACTAGCGTCAGGGAGACCAAGAATACAGGGAATAGAGATGGCAGGGACACCAGTAGCAATCATGAAGAGAAGGTTCCCAGAAAAGAGTGAAGAGATTAGTAAAATCTCTGATAAACGGGAAGTCGCTCTGGATAAGAGTGTCTGCTAAATGATTTAAATGTAAATGTAAATAAGAACTAGAAAACTAGCAACAAAATGGCCAAAGGAAGGAATGCTTGATGTAACAGTGTGTGAGGACATGGATACCCTAATAAAGAACTATAAAACAGGAGGAAGAGGATCAGACTTAGATATAGACTTATGAGGGACTGAGGGGTATGTTAAACAGACTGGAAAATTATGGGATAGATGAACAAAATGGTGATGGACAGAGCGAGTGGGATGATGCAAATAAGGAGGAAGGTGAAGAACTTAGACAGTATGCTGACTCTGATCAAAAACAGAGTGAGACAGAGGGACGATTATCAGAGCAAGGAGCCACGGGAGGCAAAACTATAGTAACAGAACTGGATGGAATGTCCTTTGACAATTATAGGCCAGGAGTATCAAGCCAAAATCAAGCCAAAATAGACCCTAAAGCACTGAGAGGGGAACCATTGGGGGATAAAGAAAACCCTGCAAATTACCTAGAGGATCAGCTCAAGAGGTGGCGACAAGAAACAGAAAAAGACCCAGAGGGGGATCCACTGATGACAACACTGTTCAGGACATCACTGATGGAGGCAATGCCAACGCCTATCAGAAGCAGACTGAAAGATGTGGTGGGACTAACGTCAGAATCACACAAGGAATTCTGCGACCATATTATCCACGCAATGCAGAAATACAGGAGGGATTAACAGAAACTGGCGAAGCAGTGGAGAGAGATTCGGAGAAAACTGGGACAGGTGCAGCTGGAAGAGCTGACAAGAAAGGACAAAAAGAAAACACAAGCTCAAGTGATTATTCCGACACCGCCAGAAGAGGGCGCCATGGCACCTGTTCTCCAAGGAGGTCCACAAATACCGCCTCAGCAGCAAGGCCAAAGAGTTCCTGCTGCAACAGTAGTGAATGTGTACACACAACAATCCCCTGGACAGTGGCAAAACAAAGGAAATAGAAACAGACCCCAGAATCAAGGGCACCGATCACAACAGCAGACATACCAAAATGGTGGACCAGGAGGACCGCTAGGTGTCTGCTGGGGGTGTAATCAATCAGGACATCTAGGAAGGGATTGTCCTACCAACCCACGGCTGCCTAGGCAACCACAACAGGGTAATTGGCAAAGAAATGGCCCCAGTTCGGATGTATGGCAGCAGTCTCAGACACAGGCTCCACAGGGCCCAGTGAACCTGTGGGGAGGACCAAATCAGGGATACTAGGGATGCCCAGGGAAACCTAAAGGGGAGGGTCAGCTAGTGGCAGTAACTATGCAGGCTGATGAAGAACCTATGCTAAAGGTTCAGGTGAACAACAGAGGCACACCCATGATGATAGATACTGGAGCTACTTACTCATGTGGAAGTCCAAATTATGCCTCTCACCTCCCCATGTCAGGCAAATATGCAAAGACAGTAGGATTTTCAGGACAAACACAGCTAATACCTATGACAGTTCCAGTAAAACTAGAAGCAGGAGGAAAAGCTACCTGCATACCCATATTAGTATCAGAACAAACACTGTGTAGAATGGGCATCCAAATTAAATGCACATCAGAGGGACTAATAATCAGGAAGGGGTACGTCCACAAATGATGACGGCTATGGACAAAACAGCAAATGTATATTGGATAGGGAACATAGAATCACCAGTACAAGAAGTACTAAAGAAGTGGGGAAAGTTTATTAGGGCTCAAATTCCAGAAATAAAGTTACCAAAATTAGGCTATCATTGTACACTACAATATGACCCATATCAAAATCATTTACTAGAACAACTATGGTTAAGGAAAGCATGGGGTAAACTGGCCTCCATGAGATCGCAATATTTTGTAATAGGGAAACAAGGGGCAGCAATGGAAGCACAAGATGCTCCAGGATCTGATATCATACAGACCTGGTTTGAGATACCAGGAACAGAACCTCACATAACACTTTTAGTGGCCGAGGGATATCAGGCAAAAGATCTAGGACCAATGATGAAATAGGCTAAAAATACATTAAAGTCCTATGCTTTGCAGAACTGATGGGGGGAACCACATGAAGTGGAAATAACTGAGGAAAGACAGATGACAGTAGTTAAAGAAGAAACAAAACAGGAAAAGCTAAAGGAAACAAATGGAAAGTATGATCACAGAAGACTTATGGGAAAAATATGATACAGATGTGGGTTTAGTAAATTCAGCTAATCCAATTTGCGTTAAAGTAAAGGCATACACAAGACCCCTTGGAAACAACAATACCCCAATGACACTGAAAGCAGAGGCAGGAATTCAAGCTACAATAGAGGGACAGATAAAAGCAGGGGTACTGGTTAAAACTCAGAGTGACTGTAACACGACAGTGTTACCAGTCCTAAAGGCAGACAAACAGAAGTGGAGACTGGTTCATGACCTGAGAACAGTGAATGAGGTAATTCAAGACGAGGAGCCCAATCTACACACACTGTTAACAAACATTCCACCAGATGCAAAATGGTTCTCAGTAATAGACTGATGTGGAGCATTTTTTAGTGTACCTTTAGCATAAGAAAGTAGACGCTTGTTTATATTTACTTACAAAGGACAGCAATTTATATAAACAAGGAATTAGATTGAAACAAACGATTACTCATTTTATGGAGTACAGTGGAATTATTTTCATGTTTTGTTCATAGTTAAAACGTTTGGGTGGCTGATTAAGATGTACTATAGTGAATGTTAACGAAATGTATACTTTCTTTTCCAGGAGAATGGGAGTTTCATTATCTCTCTTTGGAATGTTTCTTGAGACTGTGAACTCAGGAGAGCAGTTAGTAAAACTCAGCAATCTTATAATTAGGCCGTAAGAGGGAGCTACCAAATTAAATAAGGCCTAGCCATTTGTTTGTTTTTGCCCTACGTTTCACCAGCATACACAACCCACCTATTATTAATATTTGGTAGTTATGTACGGTTTTTTATTTTTGGTTTAGTGGATTTTTCACAGGTTAGAAATAATACACCTTAAAGGGAACATAAATTACATTTTTGGAAGTTTCTATTGCCAGAGTTTTAATTACACACATGTACATTCTCCTGATAAGAAATGTACTGAAAAAAACAATGTAAACTTGGTACAATTTTTTTTTGAAATGTTTGAAATATCGTTAAATTATATCTGAGGTAAAAGGGGAAGGAAAGGGAAAGAGACACTCACTTAAATGGGGTTGAATGACCTCTGACCTCTGTTCTGACTTTCTGGCGAGGCCTGATCACCCTCACTCGAAAGCTAGAGACATTGTGTGAGATTTATATGTAGTATGTAAACACTAATAATTAGGAAGAAGTTTATAATTTATCAATAGGCTTATGTATGATTCATACCATGACAAGGACAGAGAAAGAGAACTAGCCCTGAATGAGGGACACCTGTCGCTAGTCAATTTGACTATTCCTTGAATTACCTTATGGGATACAATTAAGTTAAGGTGTTATCAAGGGTTATCATTCTAATTTGATTTGTTATTTTGATTTAACAGACATTGTTGTTTTGTTTTTTGGGGCCGTACCTCTGGCATTAATGAGTTATCGCATGCAAGCTAACAGAATATTGCATCTAACACCTCATGAAATGCTTACAGGTTGACCCATACCAGTGCCGGTGCTTAGGGGACCATATGAGGGTCTGCCTCTAGAGCAAATTGAAAGGGAATTAGAAGGGTATATCAGGCAACTAACTGTCATACATTAAGTTATATACCAACAGGAGAGAAGCAGAGTTCTAAAACCAGAGGTATCATCTAAACCACTGCACCAGAGTACCGCATGGAAACCGACGACCGAGAGATGAGGAAGCTAAGGATGCCGAGACCCTAGTGAAGGAAGAAGGTCCAGAGCCAAAGGGACCCAACGCCGGCCCGGAGTAGAGGCCCAGAAGCAGATGGTCATTATCGGAAGAGAGCCCTGCTTGGCCCTCACAACAATGAGGACCACTTGACTGCCCTTATGGCAACCTAGAATGTCTGTCTGGGGTAATGGCAGGAGGAGGATGGGCTTGTCATAACTACAAGGACCAGCAAAACCTGGACAAATCTGGAAGTGAAAATGTTTATCTCTCAGACATGTATCCTATTCCATATTACTTTAGTGATGATAATGACTCTAGATAATATCAAAATAACTTTTTCAAATAGAGATCATGGTTAAAACAATGTTGCATGTATTTTATGTATTTTAATGTGTTAGGATACTAACACGTATATTGGAATTGTTTTGAGTAGAAATGCTGATATTGTTTATTATGAGTATAACCTTAAATGCAAAGATTGTGCTTAATAGCATAAACATAATTATTCTTATGTTAGTTACTATATTAATAATTAATACTTTTGTAAGGATTTGGGACCAATAGTCCCATATGGGGGATAAGATGAAGATTTTTCAGTAAACTATTGGATAAACAAAGTTAATCAATGACATGACGAACATATAGTCAGAATTCTCTGTTGCTAGGCAATAACTTAATTGGTTCCTTTCACTGGGTTTGTGTGTGTGTGAAATGGGGATCTGACCTCAGGTCGAATTCCTCGCTCTTACCTAATCCATGGCTGTCCTACCTTATCAGAGACTGAAACTAGACTGTTGCCTTTTGTCTCTCTCCTCAAACAAAGTCCTGAGAGCGGAGTCAGAGTTGAACAGAGTTCAGACTAATCATGAGTAATTACAGCATGACGGGAGGGAAGAGAGGAGTTGGGTTTGGGTATGTTTGAGAGATTGAGTGTGGACCTGTCATGTCCAACAATCAATCTTCAGGTCAAGCCAGGGAGAGCCGAGGTTGAACAGAGTTTGCATGACAAGGGCTTGATTGATTGTACTACTATTGATTCTAAACGGAATAAAAGTCCAATTTAGCCGCTATCATAGACTAAGGAAGTGGGCGGAGCGGTAGAGAGAGGGAAACTGAGGATGGTGGTGGGGGAACCCAAGAGGGAGATAAGATGTATGTGAATATGACTATATAAACAGAGAGCTGAGAGGTAGACGAGAGTTGCTCTGCAGACCAGCTCGGCTTTCGTTGCTCTATGTAATAAAGTCTATCTTGATTCTACAAAAACTCTGGAAGAACTTTGATTTTTAATAAGTATAGTGATCATTTTCCACATCAGTATGTCGTATTTTGGCTGTCAGCCAGTTTTTGGAGACTTATTTGCTCCGCCTTTCTTTTATCGTGATAAGTCCGTTATTTTGTATTCTGGCTTCGGGACCACCAGTAAAGATCCTTGTTTCACTATCTCTGCCTACTGCCTACTGTACAGTCGTGGTCAAAAGTTTTGAGAATGACACAAGTATTGGTCTTCACAAAGTTTACTGCTTCAGTGTTTTTAGATATTTTTGTCAGATTTTACTATGGTATACTGAAGTATAATTACAAGCATTCCATAAGTGTCAAAGGCTTTTATTGACAATTATATTAGGTTTATGCAAAGAGTCAATATTTGCAGTGTTGACCCTTCTTTTTCAAGACCTCTGCAATCCGCCCTGGCATGCTGTCAATTAACTTCTGTGCCACATCCTGACTTATGGCAGCCCATTCTTGCATAATCAATGCTTGGAGTTTGTCAGAATTTGTGGGTTTATGTTTGTCCACCCGCTTCTTGAGGATTGACCACAAGTTCTCAATGGGATTAAGGTCTGGGGAGTTTCCTGGCCATGGACCCAAAATGTCGATGTTTTGTTCCTCGAGCCACTTAGTTATCACTTTTGCCTTATGGCAAGGTGCTCCATCATGCTGGAAAAGGCATTGTTCGTCACCAAACTGTTCTTGGATGGTTGGGAGAAGTTGCTCTCGGAGGATGTGTTGGTACCATTCTTTTTTCATGTCTGTGTTCTTAGGCAAAATTGTGAGTGAGCCCACTCCCTTGGCTGAGAAGCAAATTGACACATGAATGGTCTCAGGATGCTTTACTGTTGGCATGACACAGGACTGATGCTAGCGCTCACCTTGTCTTCTCCGGACAAGCTTTTTTCCGGATGCCCCAAACAATCGGAAAGGGGATTCATCAGAGAAAATGACTTTACCCCAGTCCTCAGCAGTCCAATCCCTGTACCTTTTGCAGAATATCAGTCTGTCCCTGATGTTTTTCCTGGAGAGAAGTGGCTTCCTCGCTGCCCTTCTTGACACCAGGCCATCCTCCAAAAGTCTTCGCCTCACTGTGCGTGCAGATGCACTCACACCTGCCTGCTGCCATTCCTGAGCAAGCTCTGCACTGGTGGTGCCTCGATCCCGCAGCTGAATCAACTTTAGGAGACGGTCCTGGAGCTTGCTGGACTTTCTTGGGCGCCCTGGCGCCTTCTTGACAACAATTGAACCTCTCTCCTTGAAGTTCTTGATGATCCGATAAATTGTTGATTTAGGTGCAATCTTACTAGCAGCAATATAGGGCGGCGCACAATTGGCCCAGCGTCGTCCGGGTTTGGCCGGTGTAGGCCGTCATTGTAAATAAGAATTTGTTCTTAACTGACTTGCCTAGTTAAATATTGGTAAAATAAAAAAATATATCCTTGCCTGTGAAGCCCTTTTTGTGCAAAGCAATGATGAAGGCACGTGTTTCCTTGCAGGTAACCATGGTTAACAGAGGAAGAACAATGATTTCAAGCACCACCCTCCTTTTAAAGCTACCAGTCTGTTATCCTACCTCAATCAGCATGACAGAGTGATCTCCAGCCTTGTCCTCGTCAACACTCTCACTTGTGTTAACGAGAGAATCACTGACATGATGTCAGCTGGTCCTTTTGTGGCAGGGCTGAAATGCAGTGGAAATGTTTTTTGGGGGGATTAAGTTCATTTTCATGCAAAGAGGGACTTTGCAATTAATTGCAATTCATCTGATCACTCTTCACAACATTCTGGAGTATATGCAAATTGCCATCATAAAAACTGAGGCAGTAGACTTTGTGAAAATTTAATATTTTCTGATATAGAGGTTCTGGATGGCAGGGAGCTCGGCCCCAGTGATGCACTGGGCTGTCCACACCACCCTCTGTAGTGCTTTGCGGTCGAGGGCGGTGCAGTTGCCATACCAAGCGGTGATGCAGCCAGTCAAGATGCCCTCAATGGTGCAGCTGTCGAACTTGTTGAGGATCTGAGGGCCCATGACAAATCTTTTCAGCCTCCTGAGGGGAAAGAGGCACCATCATGCGTTCCTCACAACTGTGCGGGTGTGTGTGGACCATGTTAAGTCCATAGTGATTTGGAAACCGAGGAACTTGAAGCTCTCGACCCGCTCCACTACAGCCCTGTCGATGTGGATTGGGGAGTGCTCACCCCCGTTTACGATCAGATCCTTGGTATTACTGACGTTGAGGGAGAAGTTGTTGTCCTGACACCACACTGCCAGGTCTCTGACCTCCTCCCTGTAGGCTGTCTCATCGCTGTCAGTGATCAGGCCTACCACTGTTGCATCTTCAGCAAACTTGATGATGGTGTTGGTGTTGTGCGTGGCCACGGAGTCGTGGGTTAACAGGGAGTACAGGAGGGGACTAAGCACACACCTGTAAGGGGCCCCCATGTTGAGGGTCAGCGTGGCAGAGGTGTTGTTGCCTACCTTCACCACCTGGGGGCAGCCCATCAGGAACTCCTGGATCCAGTTGCAGAGGGAGGCGTTCAACACATAGTTATGCATGCACGCACGCACGCACGCACACACACACGCACGCACACACAAACAAACACGCACACAATCAGACACTCAAAAACAGACACACACACACACTTACGTCCGGCTGGGCCTCAGTCTTTTGTCCGAACATGGAATGACTGCCACTCGCTGATCATGTCCTATACAGAGAAGAATACGTTTTATTTCACAGTTATAGATACTGCTGTATTGGCATGTCAGCCTTGCTGCATAGAACACACAACAGCATTTCGATTTCATTTTACAGAGAGTTGAAAGTGACTCTCCCTTCTTTTAAAACAAACGTTGGTTATTACTGTCACAAGCTGATCATGTCCTATACAGAGAAGAGTAAGGTGAGTTATTATTTCACAGTTAGACATGCTGTTCTATTAAAATCAAATCCAAGTTTATTGGTCGCATACCCAGTTTAGCAGATGTTATAGCGGGTGCAGTGAAATGCTTATGTTACTAGCTCCTAACAATGCAGTAAAATATCAAACAAGTACACAAATAACACAAAATATAAATAAAAAGAAAGAAATGTCAGAACGAATCCAATTAACAACCCAAAAAGCAATGTAACAGTAATCCAAATGCAATCTATACGTATATACAAAATATTAATTTACACAAGATATACTAAGAATGATATGTACAGCAGTAGATACTGTATATTAGAGCGAGCTATGTCAAGAATCCAGTATATAAATAAATATGTGGTGTGTATAAACAGTGTAGCTAAAATTCAATGTACAGTTGTAGAAAGATTAGAATGAGCTACAGTATGTTGAAAATACAGTATTGAAATACACAGTACGAAACCCCATGGCAAAATTGATAGAATTGCAGGAAATTAGCTTACGGACCAGAGTCCGCAATATAAATATACAGTATATGTATGTGAATTAAGTGTATAGACAATTGGAGAGTATGTGAATAGAAAAGGTGTGAACAGCAGTAGTTGGTAGTGGCATGTCAGCCTTGCTGCACAGAACACACAACACCATTTTGATTTCATTTTACAGAGAACTGAAAGTGACTCACTTCTCTTTAAACAAATGTGGGTTATTAAATACACATCTTAACAAGTCTTGAATACCAACATGGAAATAATCACAACAAAAACATGTAAGTAAATCAAAGGCACAACTAAGTAGTTAGTCTGTCTGAAGAGGGCCACCTACCTCTTGGAATACGCCCTACTCCCCAACAAGTCGGGCAAGTATCTCCTAGGTTGCCTATGCTGTCCCCGGTGATGGCTCCATATAGTTGGGAGTGGGACTGTAGTCTTCTCTTCTCCGGTTCTTGTTCCTGAGGCATGATGGCCTCTGTATCCTCCTTGGAGCCACTGGATTGTCCTAAAGTGACCATAGTCTGAAACACCGTCCTATCTGCTGGGAGAAATTTAAACACAACCCCCCACCCCTGCTCTTACAAGGTGGAATTTCCCTCTTGAAGATCAGCCATGCATTCCCTCACTTTTCTCACATGAACAAGTTTGACTGATATTGTCTAGTTCTGTATTACTCTATCTATAAGCACCTTGCTGTCTCTGTTGGTCCTCTTTGTGACACCTGAAAGAATGTTGAGTTGCACTTTACAGTGTGAGGTCAACATAAACCTTCAACCTGCCTCTATAAAATAATTGTCCTGAATTAAATCTAGAGACATAGGAAGAGACAAAGACATAGGAGGCCCAAGTCCTCAACATTGCTGTAAAGACAAGACAGTAAGCATCACTGTACAGTGAGGGAAAAAAGTATTTGATCCCCTGCTGATTTTGTACATTTGCCCACTGACAAAGAAATGATTAGTCTATAATTTTAATGGTAGGTTTATTTGAACAGTGAGAGACAGAATAACAACAAAAAAAATCCAGAAAAACGCATGTCAAACATTTTATAAATTGATTAGCATTTTAATGAGGGAAATAAGAATTTGACCCCCTTTCAATCAGAAATATCACAGGTGTCTTTTATACAGGTAACGAGCTGAGATTAGGAGCACACTCTTAAAGGGAGTGCTCCTAATCTCAGCTTGTTACCTGTATAAAAGACACCTGTCCACAGAAGCAATCAATCAATCAGATTCCAAACTCTCCACCATGGCCAAGACCAAAGAGCTCTCCAAGGATGTCAGGGAAAAGATTGTAGACCTACACAAGGCTGGAATGGGCTACAAGACCATCGCCAAGCAGCTTGGTGAGAAGGTGACAACAGTTGGTGCGATTATTCGCAAATGGAAGAAACACAAAATAACTGTCAATCTCCCTCGGCCTGGGGCTCAATGAAAGATCTCACCTCGTGGAGTTGCAATGATCATGAGAACGGTGAGGAATCAGCCCAGAACTATACGGGAGGTTCTTGTCAATGATCTCAAGGCAGCTGGGACCATAGTCACCAAGAAAACAATTGGTAACACACTACGCCGTGAAGGACTGAAATCCTGCAGCGCCTGCAAGGTCCCCCTGCTCAACAAAGCACATATACAGGGCCGTCTGAAGTTTGCCAATGAACATCTGAATGATTCAGAGGAGAACTGGGTGAAAGTGTTGTGGTCAGATGAGACCAAAATGGAGCTCTTTGGCATCAACTAAACTCGCCGTATTTGGAGGAGGAGGAATGCTGCCTATGACTCCAAGAACAACATCCCCACCATCAAACATGGAGGTGGAAACATTATGCTTTGGGGGTGTTTTTCTGCTAAGTGGACAGGACAACTTCACCGCATCAAAGGGACGATGGACGGGGCCATGTACCGTCAAATCTTGGGTGAGAACCTCCTTCCCTCAGCCAGGGCATTGAAAATGTGTCGTGGATGGGTATTCCAGCATGACAATGACCCAAAACACACGGCCAAGGCAACAAAGGAGTGGCTCAAGAAGAAGCACATTAAGGTCCTGGAGTGGCCTAGCCAGTCTCCAGACCTTAATCCCATAGAAAATCTGTGGAGGGAGCTGAAGGTTCGAGTTGCCAAACGTCAGCCTCGAAACCTTAATGACTTGGAGAAGATCTGCAAAGAGGAGTGGAACAAAATCCCTCCTGAGATGTGTGCAAACCTGGTGGCCAACTACAAAAAACGTCTGACCTCTGATTGCCAACAAGGGTTTTGCCACCAAGTACTAAGTCATGTTTTGCAGAGGGGTCAAATACTTATTTCCCTCATTAAAATGCAAATCAATTTATAACATTTTTGACATGCGTTTTTCTGGATTTTTTTGTTGTTATTCTGTCTCTCACTGTTCAAATAAACCTACCATTAAAATTATAGACTGATCATGTCTTTGTCAGTGGGCAAACGTACAAAATCAGCAGGGGATCAAATAATTTTTTCCCTCATTGTATATTATCTCTGACTGATTGTACATCTACAATCGACTGCTACTGGGTTAGAAAAGTTCTGTCAAGGTGAGATGTTGAGAGGAATTAAAAAATGTTGCCACAATATTGCTAAGATGTATTCCCCTGCTATTCAACTGGCGGCCCGTGGGTCAGATTTGGCCCGTTTATCAATTTAGAATGGCCCTTTGACAGTGGAGTGTATTCATGGATGCCAAGGGAAGCCAGGCTTCCCCCCAAAAATTGACAAATTTTTAAAAAAAGTACAAAATTAAAAATTGGTCCTGGTGCACAAAAAAAAAGTGCCAAGGGAAGCCAGCTTGGATTCGACATCACTCCTATCAAATCCCATTGAGAACATACATCATTGACAGAAACAATTGAATTGTTGCGTCTCGTTGTGTTGTTGTCCTCTGGTGGCTAGCTAGCCAGCTAGCTAAAATTGTCCCTTTCCTAAATCAGCCATGGAGGGAGATAGGAATTTGGACTTGTGGTTTTACTTAATTCTCCATACTGGACAATGATTATAAAGGCAATTCTGATCCAACCATTAATTCATACATTGTTGTGCCCCTGGACTGAGAGGATGGAAGTTCAATATGTACAGTGGGGAAAAAAAGTATTTAGTCAGCCACCAATTGTGCAAGTTCTCCCACTTAAAAAGATGAGAGAGGCCTGTAATATTCATCATAGGTACACGTCAACTATGACAGACAAAATGAGAAAAAAAAATCCAGAAAATCACATTGTAGTATTTTGAATGAATTTATTTGCAAATTATGGTGGTAAATAAGTATTTGGTCAATAACAAAAGTTTCTCAATACTTTGTTATATACCCTTTGTTGGCAATGACACAGGTCAAACGTTTTCTGTAAGTCTTCACAAGGTTTTCACACACTGTTGCTGGTATTTTGGCCCATTCCTACATACAGATCTCCTCTAGAGCAGTGATGTTTTGGGGCTGTCGCTGGGCAACACAGACTTTCAACTCCCTCCAAAGATTTTCTAGGGGGTTGAGATCTGGAGACTGGCTAGGCCACTCCAGGACCTTGAAATGCTTCTTACGAAGCCACTCCTTCGTTGCCCGGGCGGTGTGTTTGGGATCATTGTCATGCTGAAAGACCCAGCCACATTTCATCTTCAATGCCCTTGCTGATGGAAGGAGGTTTTCACTCAAAATCTCACGATACATGGCCCCATTCATTCTTTCCTTTACACGGATCAGTCGTCCTGGTCCCTTTGCAGAAAAACAGCCCCAAAGCATGATGTTTCCACCCCCATGCTTCACAGTAGGTATGGTGTTCTTTGGATGCAACTCAGCATTCTTTGTCCTCCAAACACGACGAGTTGAGTTTTTACCAAAAAGTTATATTTTGGTTTCATCTGACCGTATGACATTCTCCCAATCCTCTTCTGGATCATCCAAATGCACTCTGGCAAACTTCAGACGGGCCTGGACATGTACTGGCTTAAGCAGGGGGACACGTCTGGCACTGCAGGATTTGAGTCCCTGGCGGCGTAGTGTGTTACTGATGGTAGGCTTTGTTACTTTGGTCCCAGCTCTCTGCAGGTCATTCACTAGGTCCCCCCGTGTGGTTCTGGGATTTTTGCTCACTGTTCTTGTGATCATTTTGACCCCACGGGGTGAGATCTTGCGTGGAGCCCCAGATCGAGGGAGATTATCAGTGGTCTTTTCTGTCTTCCATTTCCTAATAATTGCTCCCACAATTGATTTCTTCAAACCAAGCTGCTTACCTATTGCAGATTCAGTCTTCCCAGCCTGGTGCAGGTCTACAATTTTGTTTCTGGTGTCCTTTGACAGCTCTTTGGTCTTGGCCATAGTGGAGTTTGGAGTGTGACTGTTTGAGGTTGTGGACAGGTGTCTTTTATACTGATAACAAGTTCAAACAGGTGCCATTAATACAGGTAACGAGTGGAGGACAGAGGAGCCACTTAAAGAAGAAGTTACAGGTCTGTGAGAGCCAGAAATCTTGCTTGTTTGTAGGTGACCAAATACTTATTTTCCACCATAATTTGCAAATAAATTCATTAAAAATCCTACAATGGGGTTTTCTGGATTTTTTTTTCTCAATTTGTCTGTCATAGTTGACGTGTACCTATGATGAAAATTACAGGCCTCTCTCATCTTTTTAAGTGGGAGAACTTGCACAATTGGTGGCTGACTAAATACTTTTTTCCCCACTGTAGCTAGATGTAGAAGGCTAATGTTAACTAGCTAATGTTGTCCATGAATGGGTTAGGCTAGTGTTTCTCTACAAGTAGGGTGAGTCAACATGTTTTCCTACTTGCACAAACGCACACACAAGCACACATAAATCAGAACCATGGACAGCCACATCATATTTAGCTTACGTTGATTGGGCTAAATTGTTTTTGGTATCTTTTAGATGTCACTGTATTAGACTAAGCAGAGGTGATTTGATAATGTTGAAATTTTGTAGTTGAAATGGTGCTGGAATAGTGGAGGCAGCTCCTGTTTTCTTTGCGACTTGCGGTAACCCTCTGTGGTTCTAAATCAATAGTTGTTTAGTGGTCCGAAAATGTCTGAAACATGAACTTGCTTGCCCATGCTGTAGGTCATGTAACTGTCTGTTACTGTACATGGAATATGCTTTGTGGACATCACTGGACAGAGGTTGCTATCCTTGGCTTCCCCAGTGATTATACCCATGCACCACTACTGCCCTTTGATCAATTCTGAAAATAACGTCTTTTTAAAGCAAATATTCTCCAATGGGAGAACCTGTTTTCTTGTAGTCCCGCCCTTATCTGCTGTCACTCAATATCACCCAACTTACCAGTTACAGCCAATCAGAGCTGCTAACAGGGTACAGGGTCTGTCTGCCCACCTATCAGCGCTTTCACCACAGATGAGATCACTACATTGCCTGATACACCAGCTTAACTCAGCGGTGAGTAAAACAAAAACAAGGACTCAGTTATGGCGATCATAAACCTTATCCGATCAACATCTAGCCTACAACATCGCTTGTTTCGTAGTCTGCTGAGCA